CCCGTAACCCGTTAGGGTCGGGTTAGGGTTAGATGTTTCCAACCCGCAACCCGTTTATAACCCAACCCGTCTAACCCGTCACCCGAGTTGACCCGACCCTAACCCGACCCAACCCGCCCGTTTGCCAGGTCTAATACCCACCATGCTCACCTAGAACAGACCTGTGGCCTTTTTGTTAGACCCGGGCACAGCTGTTGTTCCGAATGGATCAGCCCACCGCCCCACGACCCAGACGAAATGTTCAGACCGAGAATTACTTACAACGACATATTAATGCACTAGTTGGACGATGTGGGACTCGGACCAAGACCAAAAACGTCTCCGCGTTTTTTCTTTTTGTTATGACGCCTATCAGTTTGTTTCTAAAATGTTAAAATCTCATTTTGATCTCTTAACTTTTGTATAGAGTCTTTTTTGGGTTTTAACTGAAAATATCTTCGTTTTAGTCCTAAAGTTCATTTTTTCAACAATTTTTAGTCTTTCTTTTCTCAGACTTGATACATTACTTGATAGAACTTTCCTTTTTTTTTTTTTGTTCAAATTAATGATGTGGATATTCCATCATTAAGCTGGAAAAATAAATTTTAAGAATCCAAAAAGGATAAAAAAATAAATTTTAAGGACTACAAAGAAACTTTTTTTGTTGGGAATAAAAAGGACATTTTTTAAACTACAAGGACCAAGTAGGTTTTAAGCTTTCCTTTTTTATTAAACTGCAAGGACTTAAGGAGGTTTTAACCTTTTCCTTTTTTATGCTCTCTTTGATAAAGTAAAAGATGCTTTTCATTTTGCCACTGCTTTCTCTGTAAGTGGGACCTCCAATTGCAAAAGGTGAAGCATCCAATAATGCCTAAGAAATTATTGACAACCCACCTTCAATTCTATCTCTTTCTCCAAAAATTCTCAGATCTCCATCCATTCCTTCCCAGCACGCAACTTGAGTCCTTAAGGCAAAGGTAAGCGCTGTTCGTCTCATCTCTTGATTTTTAATTTTGTTCAAGTTAATTTTCATGTTATGTTAATTTCCTGACACTTTCCCTCCGTTTCTTTCCAGTATCTCCATTTCTTTAGAATTCGAAAGGCAGAAGCAAAGAGTAGGGAATCAATATTCCTGGAAGATCAACATGTCTTCTCTAATTTCCAGTTAGAATATAACTGTTTCCATCTTTCGTGTACCTTATTCCAGCTGATATCTCCACCCACTTCTAGCTTCCCACATATTAACAAAAGTAAACGTTGAAAGCAGAGGTATGTTTCTTAATCCCTAGATAATTAGTT